ACATAGGCTAAATATCAGCTACCAGACCCCAGACTTCTAGCCTCTAAAACTAAGAGCAAGTAAATCTCTTTTCTTTATAAAGTTATCAAGTCTTAGATATTTTATTATAGTAATAAAAAATAAGTTAATGCACTAGGCTATCTATGAGTTCAAATATTTTAACAAATTCTAACTTAAAAATCTCGACAAGGTCATGTGCTGGTAGCTTACATGTATAATCCTAGCCACTCAGGTGGCTGAGATCTGGGGATCACGGTTCAGTCTATGAGTCTCTTATCTCCAATTAATCATCAAAAAGCCAGAAATGGAGCTGTGGCTTAAGAGGCAGAGTGCTAGACTTTAAGCAAAAAAGCTCAGAGACAATGCCCAGGCCCTGAGTTCAAGCCCCAAGCTCAATACATACATCAGACACAGGTGGCTCACACCTATAATCCTAGCTACTCAGGAGGCTAAGATCTGAGGAACACGGGGGGGGGGGGGGGGGGGGGGGGGGGGGGGGGGGGGGGAAGGGAAGGAAAGAAAGAAAAGGAAAGACAGGAAGAAAGGAAAAGAACTCATTACCTGACTTATGAAATGGTAACCCCTGTGTACATTAACTTTATAACAACTAGAAATTTAAAAAAATAGTAACATGTACTTGGCCAGCTATCTACTCAAGAGCCAGATATAGGAGGATCAGGTCCAAAGCCAGCACAGACAAAAGTGCACAACCCTATCTAACATAAACTAACAGAACTTGGGTTATGCCTGTAGTGGTAGAACAATTGCCAAGCAAGTGTAAGCCCTGACTGAGTTTAATTCCCAGTACAGCCAACGGAAAAAAAGTAGCAATTATAATATAATAGACTGGTATATTTGAAGAAAGGGGCAAATATATTTTCTGCTATAGTATACTTTAAAAATAGGCTAAGCAGTGGTGGCTCATGCCTGTAATCCTCACTACACAGGAGGCTGGGATCTAAGGATCCTGTTTCAAAGCCTGCCCAGGAAGATAAATCAGATTTATCTCTAAGTAAGCAGCAAAAGCCTGGAAGTAATAAGAACACTAGCCGGGGCTGGGAAGATGGCTCAGTGGTAGAGCGCTTGCCTTGAATGCATGAGGCCCTGGGTTCCATTCCTCACCACCACATAAGCAAAAAAGAAAAAATCCGGAAGTGGTGCTGTGGCTCAAGTGGTAGAGCGCTAGCCTTGAGCTGAAGAGCTGAGGAACAACGCCCAGGCCCAGAGTTCAGGCCCCATGACTGGACCCAAAAAAACAAAACAAAACAAAACACTAGCCTTGAGCGGAAAAAAAAAAAGCTCAGAGACGGTGTCCAGGCCCAATCCTTATGTGTATGTGAAACACTTTTAAATTAAATTTATAATCTTAAAACTAACTTATTTTACCCACAGTGGAAATATTTTTAGCTAAAAGTTATATTTGATTAGAGTTTAAAATAGAAAAAGGTTACCAATAATAATAGTAACAAATATCACCACTTACTGACCATTACTGTTAAAACGTTCACATACTGGTATCAGATTGATTTTCAATCCTTTACAGTGTATTTATATCACTAGTGTAATTTTGCTTCAATATCACTTAAGAGAAAAATAATACTAAAAATAGAGTATAGCCAGTAATTGCTAGCAGCAAGAACATGAAGTTGATCATTTTTATATGTTTAGAAGAACTAACTCTACTTATCTCCTTAGTATGAGGTATATTAACAACATAGAAAGCCCACTCTTCAATAACTTACAAAATGGGCAGGAGTTTGCAGGAGCCACATGTACGTACCTCAAGGTGCTACCAACAGCCAACTAGCCCACCCTTCTGGTGTGAGGGAAGTGAGGAAATACTCAGCTACAACTAAACTGGGTCACCATCCCATCCCATTTTGTTTACCAGAGAGCATGCATGCAGACACACAAACACAAAACTGGGAACAATGCCAATGACTCTGTTCAAACTGTTCTTTTTTACTTTCATCACCTTGATACAAAACACCAAAAATCTACAAGGCCTACCTCTTTCCCACTAGGCAAAATGTGTTTAATTCATCTACTGATAACAACAAAATCTAGTTGTTACTCATCTAACAGAAAATATAGATTAACATATGCTACAAAATGTGCATATATGGACATGTACACACACACACACACACACACACCAATAAATAACATTCAACAAATTCATGACTTTATCTTATCCTACTGGTTTCTTGTCTTTTTGTTTCTTAGAAAATGAAAAATGCTACTGTGTGATTCATCCCTGTGTATTGATCTTATATCAGCTCTCAAACACAACAAACTTCATCCCAAAATTCTTAAAAGATTCATCAGGAGTCATCAGGAATGTTATTTTTCCAAGGAGGCTAAAAAGATTACATATTTGAGAAAACTACTGACAAGGAAAACGAAGATTTTAGTAAGAAGGGATTTATGCTGACTATTTAAACTCAAAAGTAAAAATTTTATTTTTGAGTCAAACACAAAGAACAAAGAATAGATCTTGCTGAAGAAATGTTTCTATGTGAGTGAAGCAGAACTCTGGATATGTGGGTAATGCATGTTAATTGTTAATAAATTAAAGAAATCTCTAATGGCTAGGGATAATACGAACACTTGCTTAGGGCAAGGAATGTGGCTTAGTGGTCGAGTGCTTGCCTAGCATGCATGAGGCCCTGCCTTGATTCCTTGGTACCATATAAACAAAAAATAAATAATTTTTTTTAAGAGTGCTCTTGGGGCTGGGAATGTGGCTTAGTGGTAGCGTGCTTGCCAAGCATGCATGAAGCCCTAGGTTCAATTCCTCGGTACCACATACACAGAAAAGGCCAGAAGTGGCACTGTGGCTCAAGTGGTAGAGTGCTAGCCTTGAGCCAAAGAAGCTCAGAGACAGTGCCTAGGCCCTGCTTTCAAGCCCCAGGACTGGCACACACATACACATAAAAAAAAAATTGTTCTTAAAAACAACAACAAAAAAAACAATTGCTTAGCAATTATTAAATAACAAGTAACAATTGCCCCTAATCAATGTGACAACACCATGAAGACCTAATTAGCAACCTTGCTTAGAGAACTAAAAATGAAGTAATATTTATGTTTTTCACTCTGTTTTCTGACCTTCAATGGGGATAACTAAAAGTACTTATTTCCTAAGACTGTTGTGAAAATTAAATGAATACTTGAAAGTACTTTAGTAAGTTTAGTGTCTACAAAACCCACAGTAAATAATAAGTACTCTTTTTTTGGAGGGGGAGGGGGGGAGGAGGGACCTGGTCCTAGGGCCTAAACTCAGGGCCTGAGTGCTGTCCCTGGGCCTCTTTGTGCTCAAAACTAGCACTCTACCACTTGGGCTACAGTGCCACTTCTGGCTTTTTTTTTTTTTTCTCTGTCATGGGGCTTATTAAACTCTGGGCCTAGGCACTGTTCTGAGCTCTCAGCTCAAGGCTAGCACTCTACCACTTGAGCCTAAGCGCCACTTCCAGTTTTCTGGTGTTTTATTGGAGATAAAGAGTTTCATGGCCTTTCTTGACAGGGTTGGCTTCGAACTACCATCCTCAGATCTCAGACTCCTGAGCAGCTAGGATAACAAGCGTGAGCCACAGGTGCCAGCACTTGCAGCTTTTTCGAGTAGTTTATTGTAGATGATAGTCTCACGGTGTGTGTGTGTCTTTGTTTAATTTGTAACAAAGCCTTACAGACAGGTGCAAACCGTAAACCCTCTTACATGTGGTACATGTAAGAAGGAATATGATTCCTAACAGTTGGCAATGTGAGGGTTTGTTTAAAACTCACACAGGATGCTCTGAGAATAAAGTTGATGTGAAAGCAAAAAAAAAAAAATGAAAGAAAAGAGTCTCACAGGGAGTTTTCTACATAGGCTGGTTTCGAATCACAATCCTCAGATCTCAGCCTCCTGAGTAGCTAGGATTATAGGCATGAGATACCAGCACACAGCTATGAAAGGTACTCTTATTCACAACCATTTAATTACATGTATAGGTCACATTAAGAAAAAGAACAAAGTATCTTTCTTTAAAGGATTATCATATTATAATGGTCTTATTTTTCTAGCAACTAATAAAATCTAGATAGAGATAGATAGACAGACAGACAGACAGACAGACAGACATGAAAAAATAAATGATTTAATAATATGGTCACTTTCTTTTTTTTTTTTGTCTTTTCTTTTTTGGTACTGGGGATCGAACCCAGGACGTTGCACTTGCTAGGCAAGCGCTTTGCCACTGAGCTACATCCCAGCCCGGTCACTTTCTTTATAAAGAAATACAAGCCAGAAGTAGTAATCCTAGCTGCTCAGGAGAGAAAGGTTCAGAGGACTGTAGTTCAAGACCAGTTTGGGTAAAAAGTTCACAAGACTCCATCTCAACCAATAATGTGGCATGGTGCTACACATCTTGTCATCCCAGCCACATGGGAAACGCAAATAGTAAGTCAAGATGGTCTGAGCATAAATGTAAGACTTCAGTGAAAAATTAAAGCAAAAAGGACTGGGAACATTGTTTAAGAGGTAGAGTATATGCTTAGCAAGCATAAGACTCTGAGTTCAAACCCAAGTACTGAAGGGGAAAAAAAAAAATCAATCCCAAAATTATAGGAAAACTGATATAAATTATTCATTAAAATAATTATATTACATGACTATTTAATTAAATCATTTAATTCGGTCTTTTTTTTTTTTGGCCAGTTGTGGGGCTTGAACTCAGGGCCTAGGTGCTGTCCCTGAGCTTTTGTGCTCAGGGCTATAGCTCCACCACTGTGAACCCCAGCTCCACATCCTTAATTCAGTATTTCTAATATTACAAATCCTAAATACGACTTACATGTAATTGAAAGTCCATGGAAATGTCTCCATCTTATATAAAATTTCTTTAAACCAATTAATGTGTATAAAATAACCATGCATTGTATACATTAATCAAACTTTTCTATTGAAATAAATCACTCCAAATATACATAATAATATGTTACTATTTATGGCCACTTACTGCAATCTCTCTACAAGCCGACATGGATATTCCTGTGCCTTCAATTTGCTTCAGTGCATATTCCTTTTCATCTTTTCTGCACATGAACAAAAAATATTTTTTTTACTTTTCCATATATTACTTCCAGATTCAAAATTATAAGTACAAAAATAATGGGAATGTATTGAGTCTCTCAGTTGTATGTAAATACTCTCACTATGCCATGTATTGCTTATTATTTTTATAATATTTCTACTACAGAAATATGAAATACCAAAAGAAATTTATGTAACAATAAAAACATCAGACAGAGCCAAAACACAAAATTCAAAATTTAACAGGGTAGTATATTAAACACAGCACTGGTTACAAAAAATAAACAAGCATAAATACAAACTCAAACATATTGCAAAATGATTCCACTCCTGCAGTAATTATGTGATGTCTATGAAAGCATTCTGTTATAAACATATACTACAAAAATAACTGACAGACATAAACTCTTAGGTTCACTTAAAATACTCTCATACCGTAAGAAGAAAATAAAAAGAAGTATGGAGAACCCACTGAACACACAGATTTCCTCCTAGGATAGAGGACGCTTATATACTCCCAAATCCCAGCCTAAAGCCACCAATATCATATACCTAGGAAACTCTTCTATGAACCCCAGTAGGGAAAAAACAGGAATCTGGGAAACTCCAACACTTATAAGAGTGCTTAACTAATAGAAGATATTGTTTCAATAATGGTGAACTACCAGGGGAAAAAATAGTGACTGGCTAGAACACCGATATCCTCAAGAAACTGGCACCAGAACCAGCCATAGGAAGGCATCAGCTCAACGACCTTAACAGTGGGTCATCTCATGGGTTGTTCTTACAATGGAGCATAATCTATAGCCTCCAAGTTTTGGTCTTCTGATTATATTAGTGCCTCAGCAAGGTTCACAATGTTGTCATGGTTTTGTTAAATGCTGGTATTACAGAGTGTCACATTTTTCCTACTTAGCTATTACCCATTTACTCATTACCCATTTATCGGCAGAAAAAGCAGTTTAAGAGGTTTTCATAGCTGGAGGTGCAACTTAAGTGGTAGAGCACCTGCTTAGAAAGTAAAAGGCCCAGTACTGCAAAAAAAAAAAATTATTCATAATGTGCCCTTCAAAACATTTTATATGCCTTTTGAAGATTTCTTCAATCATCTATGTTAAATAACTGAGTTATTGTCAGTTTTCTCCCATTATCAGTTTGAAAATTACAACAATTTTTCTTCCATTATATGATAAAAAATAAGCAGTATCTTAACAATATACACCAGATGGATTATGATGCGACTATTAGAATATGACTATGAAGAACATTAGAAAAATATCTAATATTAAGAAAATACTCAAATTATATCATATATAAAAATATAACTATATAGCTGGACACCAGGGGCCCATGCTTGTAATCCAATCTACTCAGGAGGCTGAGATCTGAGGATCATGTTTCAAAGACAGCCAGGCAGAAAAGTCCATGAGACTCTTATCTCCAATTAACCACCAGAAAACCTGAAGTGGTACAGTGGCTCTAGTGGTAGAACACTAGCCTTGAGCTAAAGAGCTCAAGGATAGCATCCAGGCCCAGAGTTCAAGCCCCACAACCAACAAAAGAAAACAACAGGGGCTGGGAGGGTGGCTCAGTGGTAGAGCACTTGCCTTGCATGCCTGAGGCCCTGGATTCCATTCCTCAGCCCCACATAAGCAAAAAGAAAAAAAGCCGGAAGTGGCACTGTGTCTCAAGTGGTAGAGCGCTAGCCTTGAGCTGAAGAGCTGAGGGACAGCACCCAGGCCCAGAGTTCAGGCCCCACGACCGGACCCAAAAAAAGAAAAAAAAGAAAAAGAAAACAACAACAAAAATACATACATATACTGGTCAGTACAAAAAAAAAAACTGCTAACTTTAGTGGTAATATGTAACTGTTTTTAAAATGAGAATGGGGTGACAAAAATAATTTGATACTCAAGAAATACTTAAGTAATCTTTATCATTTTCAAAGTAAGAACTTAGTAATCTTTTGAAGAGCAAAATCAAAATTTTCAAAAAGTTTGGCCAGGCTCAGTAACACATTCCTTTAATGCCAGCATTCAGGAGTTTGAGGCAAGCATATAGAAAGTTCAAGACCAGCCCAGCCTACATAGTAAGCTTGAGGTCAGTCAGACCCTGTCTCAAAAGGGAAGAGTCAGAAGACAGACTCATACCTGTAATCTCAGCTACTTAGGAGGTAGAGATAGGGAAGACTGAGATTTAAGATCAGCCTATAGCAAAATGTTAGCAAGACTCCATTCCAACCTATAAGCTGGGCACAGAGGAACATGCCTGTATCATCCCAGCTATTCAGAAAGCATTAGGAGGCACAAATAGGAGGACTGTGGTCCAGACTGGCCCAGGAAAATAATGTAAAGATCCTATCCCAGGGCTGGGAAGGTGGCTCGGTGGTAGAGTGCTTGCCTGGCATGCATGAGGCCCTGGATTTAATTCCTCAGCACCACATAAACAGAATAAGCCGGAAGTGGCGCTGTAGCTCAAGTGATAGAACACTAGCTTTGAGCTGAAGAGCTGAGGGACAGCACCCAGGCCCAGAGTTCAGGTCACATGACCGACCAAAAAAAAAAAAAAGATCCTATCCCAACAATAATTAAGGCAAAATGGGCTGGTAGGTTAAATGGAAGAATGCCTGCCCAACAAGCATAAGCTGCCCTCCCCCCCAAAAAAGGGGGGGGGAGCTTAAGCAATCTTTATGCACCTTTTTCTCCATCTTGTTTCCTGTTGTTTTTTGTTTTGTTTTTTTGCCAGACCAAGGATCTGAACTCAGAGCCTCAAGCTTGTTTCCTTAGCTAGCACTCATACCACTTACATTCTGGCTTTTACTTGAACTTTCCTACTTGGGGTTGTCTGTGAACCTTGTTCACAGCCTCCTGAGTAGCAAGGATTAAAAGCATAAGTCACAGGCATCTGGCCCATTTCCTGTTTTTATGGACTTCTTAGAAACCACCAAAAACCAGAGCATTAGGTGAATGTAATTAAAACCAATACCCCCTTTAACTACAATCTATGTACAAAGTATGTTGTAGAGCCCACCTGCCTTAGCTGCTCTGAAACAATGCTTACAATGTACATATTACATATTTAATAATTAAATTCTTGAAACATTATAAAAGCCTTCTGACAAAATTTTCACATATAATCATAATTGTTTTTCGACAGAAATATTTCAACTCCCAGTTCTCCTAAGTACTCCAGAAGCTCATGTAATGCATAGCTTTATTTTTAATACTGTAAAGAATATTACACAATCTGGATAGGTTATCGTTGCTATGGAAACGATGATTTTTTTTTGCAGTTAAGTCAAAAAGTGCAAAATTAACACATCACATTAATGGCTTTTGAATTTCACACCCAGCTGCCAAAGGAATTTGGAAGCTTGAGCAGAATAAACTGAAGCATAGACATAGGACTTTACTCTGAATTATATATGGTTATGAACAAGTATCAAACCTAGCAATTATTTAACCTAATAAATTTAAATATAACTTCCATCTGGTTCTTTTTTTTGGTCAGCCATGGGGCTTGAACTCTGGGCCTTGGCACTGTCCCTCAGCTCTTCAGCTCAAGGCTAGCACTTTATCACTTGAGCCATAGCACCACTTCCAGTTTTCTACTGGTTAATTGGAGATAAGAGTCTCATGGACTTTCCTGCCCAACCTGAGTTTGAAGTATGATCCTCAGATCTCAGCCTCTTGAGTAGCGTGGATTACAGGCGTGAGCCACCAGTGCCCAGCAACTTCCATCTGTTTAATGAAATATTCAAAACTCTGTAATTTTAATATTTTCAGCTTTTAAATGAGAATACAAGAAAGTATATAAATCAATCATTCTTTCTTAATAGTCTGTCAGATGGTAAATGGTGACTGAGGTACCACTAAGATTTGCCCAATGAAGAAATGGCAAGATCCCAGAAAGCCTATGAGACTCCCTGGCATTAACCTATATCGTCAGTGCAGATATTTAAGCAGAGTATAAAGACTGAAAATGTGTCCTGACCACATTGTCCAGAAATATTTCAATGACTAGGAACATGGGGCAGAAAGCTTTGTGTTTTTTATCCTAAGTGAGTGTTCCTCTCCAGGAGGGCCTACAAGTGGTCCAACAGCTTGCTTATTTCCAAACCTGTAATATCAAAATACAGAAGCATTTCTGAAGACCATCCGCTTTCATATCCCTTAGAAGACAAAAAGTTCTAATAATTTTAACCTTTAACTTTGCTTTTCCTAACTATATGAGAATTTAACATTTAAGATAGTAGAATGCTAACAATTTTTATAACTAGATGTTACCAATAATACATTCTTCAGTATGAAACCTGAATCTTTCCAATATATTTTTCTCCAAGAATCTGCTAGAAATAATCAGTATGAAGCCTTTTTCCTTATTATGTGATAACTAGTTTTTCAGGTTAGGAAGGTTCTACACCATACCCACACAGAAAGAAAAGATGAAAAAAATAGATAAAGAGAAAGGGAGAAAGAAAGGGAGGGAGGGAGGGAGGAAGGAAGGGAGGGAGGGAGGAAGGAAGGAAGGAAGGAAGGAAGGAAGGAAGGAAGGAAGGAAGGAAGGAAGGAAGGAAGGAAGGAAGGAAGGGAGGAAGGGAGGAAGGGAGAAAGGGAGGGAGGGAGGGAGGGAGGGAGGGAAGGAAGGAAGAAGGAAGGAAGGAAAGAGGGAGGGAAGGAAGGAAGGAAGGAAGGAAGGAAGGAGGAAGGAAGGAAGGAAAGGAGAGAGAGAGAAAGAAGAAGAGGGGAGGGGAGGGGAAGGAAGGGAAGGGGGCGGGGCTGGGAAGGAGGCTCAGTGGTAGAGTGCTTGCCTTGCATGCATGAGGCCCTGGGCTCAATTCCTTAGCACCACATACACAGAAAAAGCTGGAAGTGGGTACTATGGCTCAAGTGGTAGAGCACTAGGTTTGAGCTGAAGAGCTCAGAACAGTGCCCCGGCCCATAGTTCAAGCTCCATGACCAGCAAAAAAAAAAAAAAAAAAAAAAGGAAGGAAGATCTGGCA